TGAACTCGGCTTGCCAGCTCCTCCTCCAACTTGACCTTCCCCTTTCTTCCCATCTCTACTCCTTGCTCGTTCACAACCAGGCAATGAGCTGAAAGGCAAGAGGCCTAAATTTGCAGAACTGGACCTGCCATCATCCCCACCTTCAGGAATCCCCAGATTAGACTAGCCCCTCTTCTCAATTGGACTCAAAGGAATGGCAGCTTCAGCCCAGTCACACAGCACTGTGAGGGGCGGGGAAAACGGAGCACCATTCATGGTCCTTTTCATTCCCCACCCCGGCAGAGAAAGCGCAGTCATTCCCCAACCTTTAGAGCCCTGAGCTGCTTAGCTAGCAGTGAAAGTGAAAGTGAAGGCTCTCAGTCATGTCCGACTCTTTGCGACCCCATGGTCTGTAGCTTACGAGGCTCCCCCATCCATGGAATTTTCCAGGCAAGAGTACTGGAGTGGGTTGCCATTTCCTTCTCCAGGGGATCTTCCCCACCCAGGGATCAAACCCGGGTCTCCCACATTGTAAGCAGACGCTTTCACCATCTGAGCCACCAGGGAAGCTAGCAGCGAGGATGCGCTATGATTATCCTATAAATAACTGACTCCCCTGGGCTAGGTAGCACTGCTCCCATCCAGGCCCCAGAGAGCAGAGGGGTCTGCAGTCCTCTGTCCAGAAACACACAGGATGGTGCCCGAAAACACAAGACAACATAGAGCAGGGGATGGCCACACCTGGCCTGTCACCTGTCTTTGTGTGGACTCTGAGCCGAGAAAGGCATTTCTGTATTTGGAAGATTGAGAAGAAATCAAAACAAGAAGAGTGTTTCATGACACAGGAAAGTTCTGTGAAGTTCAAGTGTCCATGTCCATAAATAAAGTTTCCTTGGAACGCAGCTGGGCCCATTTGCTTATGTAGCATTTACATAGGACTGTGGGCCGCTGCTTGGTGCTACAGTAGCAGAGCTCAGTAATTGCAGCAGAGACCGAGAGGCCTGCAAGGCCGAGAATATTTAATATCAGGTACTCACAGAAAAAAGTAGCCAGCCCCTGGTCAAAAGCATGGAAGCCCATGAAGTATTCTGGAAGCGGCCCTGGATTTGGAGACAAGAGACCTGGTTTGAGCCTTGCTGGCAACTGTGTGTCCTTGCTCTCTGAGCCTCAGTTTCCTCATCTGTCAGCGGGAATGTCCTCGCTACCTGCCCACCTCATGTGGCCCTTGCATGAATCACAAAGACAGGCAAGTGCCTTGTGAACTGCAAGGCCCATATGAATGTTTCGTATTATTTGCCCAAGAAGGGGGGTCATTCTGGCCCCTTCTTTCCACCTTCCTTCTCATTGTCTTTCTCCAGGCCGCCTTGCTCCCTTGGCCTCTGGGGCGGGGATTGTTATTGGCTCTTCCCCTTTCCCCCTGGCTGAAACATCCACCTGTAACCAGAATGGAAAGTCTGTGCTTGGTGAAACTCTGATTGCAGGAAGTTGGGGGGTTCTCATGCGACCTCTGAAGAGGAAGCCTTGCGGTACCATGCTGGCTGTTTGCCACCTGTGAGGGGATGAAGCCCTGCTTTTATACTTTTATCACAACTCAGGATGGACGCTGGGCCCTGGGCTTTGCTTGGTAAACGGCTAATCAGATACTATGGGGTTCTGCTTGAAGAGGAAATATGGGGAAAAGAGAACAGTAATAAAATAAGCTTCATTATCTGTCTATGGGGCCTTTAAAGAATGGATTTAAAAGGTAGTTCTTGGCCCCTCCTCAGTGTGATCGAAGGCCACAGACTCTCCATTCAGCCAACTGCATGGGGTCCCCAGGTCTCATTCTGCTGCAGAAGTCCCACAGAGTTTAGGACAGTCTAGCAGTCCATGAGGTCGCTAAGAGTCGGACACGACTGCGCGACTTCACTTTCACTTTTCACTTTCATGCATTGGAGAAGGAAATGGCAACCCACTCCAGTGTTCTTGCCTGGAGAATCCCAGGGACGGGGGAGCCTGGTGGGCTGCCGTCTATGGGGTCGCACAGAGTCGGACACGACTGAAGTGACTTAGCAGCAGCAGCAGCAGCAGTTTTGTTTCAGAATTGACTTCCCCCTGCATCCTGTTTATCTGGCTTCCTGACCCCTGGGCATCAGCCCCTGGTCGCCTCACCTGGAAAGGCCTGGAAGCTTTCTCTGGCCTATGGGTCCCTGACTCTTGGCTTGTCGCCCCTGTTGCCTCACTTCAGCCCTGGTTCTCTGCCTCCCTGGGCTTTCCCAGGACTAGGATGTGTCTTCCCTAAGCCCTTGGTAGGTTCCTGCTTCCCTGGCCTCATCTTTGTGGGCCCTGGTTACCTCTCCCACCCTCTGAGACGCCTCCCTGTTCTCCTGGCTTCCCTCCACAGTCTGCAAGGCTGCCACTCCTGGTCAAACGTCATGGACTTGCAGACCACAGAGGATCCAGTGTTCTCACATCCCTCACCTCTGCCATTTCCTCCAGAGTCCCTGACATACTCAGTGAGACGCTCATATGTGCCCAGCACTGTACAAGGAGCTATGAGATGTCTCCTCACTGTGTGCTTGGCACAGAGTGAGTGCCAAGGTGTCTCTGGGGATGGGAACTCACTTCCCCCAAGGGTATCCCAGTCCTTGTTGAAGAGCCCTAGATACTAGAAAATGTTTCTTTTGGTGAGCTACAATATCCCTCTTTATACTTCATCCCACTAATTCAAATTCTGCCTTCTGGAATGACTCAGAGTGTCTGTACTCCTTCAACAAACATCCCCCAGTCCCCTCATCCTTTCTCCTGCTTCACTGTGCCCAGTTCCCTTTGGGGTCCTGTTGCCCCTCTGATGCTCAGCAGAGGCCTTCAGAGCCTCTCCCTGTCCCCATGCCATCTTGGTACCTCCAGCCTGGCAGAGGGGTCTTGTCTCTTTGTGAGCCCTGACTGCACCTGAGAAAGGATATGAACCAAACCGAGTGACTCTCAGAGGCCCACCCAGCCAGAGGAGGAAAGAACCACCCCTGAGGGAGGCCTCTGGCCCTGGAGGATGACCAAGAGCAGGATCTGCTGATGACCCACGTGATGAAGGGTGCCTGGAAGGCAGCCATGTTAACAGGCTCCCCAAGGAGCCCAAATGTGGCCCAAGTTTCAAGTCACTGAGCCAGGGTTTGCATGTCTGAAGGCTTGGCTCGGTTCCCATCCCAAAAGTATCTTTGTGGTGAAGCAAGAGGGGGTGGGACTCTGAGACCAACTGTCCTACTGGAGCCTACATGTAGGTACAAGGATTGGAGGGTCTTCTCTCCCCTGAATGGGTTTTGCCAAGTAGAGATTGAGGAGAAAAAGAGAAGACATTACTCCCTCTGAGCTCAAGGTCCTCAGCCGGTCAAAACTCAGCCTTCAGGACTGTGTGGGTGGGGAGTCCTCCATGGATCCTCTGCAGAATCTGCACTGTGCCGTCTTAGAGGGCAGCCCTGTACTGCTGGACAGGCCTCAAGGTGCGAAGGGAGAAAACTGGTTTTGTTCTCACCTCCACACCTCAGTCCTTTGCCCTCAGCAACTTCACCAGACTTTGAGATTTAGGAAATTCAATGAGCTTTTCAGTATACTCAGTGAGACTCTCATATGTGCCCAGCACTGTGCTAGGAACTGTGAGAGAAATCAGATGAGAGAAGGAAGTCCTGCTCCCAGTCCTCTTCTAAGTTCTTAAGGAACTTACAAGCCTCACCTGCAGGAAACAGTAAACAGAACAGGGAGGAGATGGTGAAACTGGGAAATCATTGAGACCGACTACATGGCAGAGCTGAGGAGCACGGGGAGAAAGATCGCTGGGGCCTGGGACACTGAGGAAAGCTCTAGGGAGGAGGCAGGCAGAGGGGCTAGGATTCGGGCCTCAGTTAAATACCTTTTATTGGCTTCATATACTAGGCATGTTCATGTGTATGTGCTAAGTTGTTTGCTTCAGTAATGTCCAACTCTTTGCAACCCTATGGACTGTAGCCCGCCAGGCTCCTCTGTCCATGGGATTTTCCAGGCAAGAATACTGGAGTGGGTTGCTGTGCTCTCCTTCAGGGGATCTTCCCAACCCTGGGATCGAACCCATGTCTCTTATGTCTCCTGCATTGGCAGATGGCTTCTTTAGACTAGTGCCAACTGGGAACCCCATATATTGGGCATAAGACAGCTAAAAAAAGATTCTGGAACATAAAAAATAGAAAGCTATGGCAGCAAGGGGAAAGATAAGAGAAAGTTGCCTCAACCCTTAGAATTGTTGGCCCACAAAGAAAATCTAGAGGAATCTCCCTTTTGCAGCACATAGAAACTCCTGGCTTTTGCTCCCCACTCTAAGGCAAGATCTGGTTGGGAAGATTTAAGTATGGCTTAACATGTTGTCACATTTACATTGAACACCACCCCCTCTTGAGGCCATGGCCAAAACTGAAGCATTTTGGGGTTACAGAGAATGGATTTCTGTTAAAAAAAATGGAGCAAGATATGGGGAGCAGATATAGGTCTTTAAATGAAGTGATGCCAAAATGTATATTTGTTGGCTCTTATTGGTTCCACTGGTCTTTGCATTGGTTATGGCCTTGACAATTTATATATAAATTTGGTTTTTGTTTGCATAATCAGTTTTCTCCAGTGAATTTTTATAATGTGATGCAGTGTAGAGAACAGATTGGCAAAAATAGCATAGAGGCAGTGGGCCCAGCTGGAGTCATTTCAGTATCCAGGGGAGATATGCTGGTGGGCTAGTTGCATTTGGATTGACTCATGCATCCCAAGGCAACAAGTTAGTAGATGAAAACAGAAGTCCCCTCTCCCTCTGATTTGTGCTCTGCATGCACAAATCAGCAATGTTCAGCAATGACCACTTGAAACCAAGTCAGGTGACTTGAGTCTTGCTCAGTTATTGACAGTAACGGTGACAATTCATGTGCTGCTGGAAAGAAGGGTGGATGGTGTGGTAGCTAATTTGAGGCCTCTGTTCTTCTCTGCTCAGGACCAGAACGAGCTGACACTTTCTCTGTCTTCATTTCCAGGTAACAAGTATGAAGTCAAAGTGTACACTGGTGATGTCATTGGTGCAGGGACTGATGCTGACGTCTTCATCAATATCTTTGGAGAGTATGGAGACACAGGTAATAGATTTAAACTCTTTTCAAGCCATTCCCAGAACTTCTTCTTAAGTGGGCTGTTTCCCACCCTCCTGGCAGAGGAAGGCAACTCCAGGCTCCTCTAGGTTCTTCTCTTGAGCCTCTCTCTTCTTCTTGTGATACGCATTGTCATGGCCATCCTTGGGCAGCATGGTGCCCTTTGGGTCAAGTTTATGTGAATGATGTGCTTTCAGAATAAGCTGTGCTTGGCTTTTGAATTGATTTTAAGCCATCCTACATCCTAGAATAGACCCAAGCTCCACATTTCCAGGGGATTCATTCTCACTCACTCTATCTCCCTAAGCTCCATGCCCATCTTGAATTATATTTTGGGATGTGACTGGGCACGGCCTGACTCACTGCAGAAGTTTGGGGCAGATAAGAATGGGGCAGGGGGAATATTGCTCTTGGCCTCATAGGTGGACCAGGAACTGAGGGCACAGACCCAGCTGTAGGTGTTGGAAGGAGGTTCAGGCCAGTAGAACTACTGAGACAGGTGGTTCGCTCCTGCTTCTGCCAATTTAAAGGAATACTATAGGAATCAGAAAAGCTTGAGAGACACGAATTTTGGACATAATCTATTAAATAATTTAAAATGCATTGCTGGAATTATAAGGAAAAAAAGAGAAATCTCCAGGTGTCAGAAATGAGAGAATTTAAAACCAAAATATTAGCTACGAATGGATATTCTGAATCTTGGAAGAAGGAAACCTTCATGTTCAACAGTCTATAGGATAAATTTCCATACACATTTGGGGTCAGAAATTATATTCTGGCTCTGTATGAGGCAAAATATACAAAAAAGCCAGGATCCTTAGAAGTTCACAGGAACATCTTCAGTGAAAAAATAGACTAGGAAAAAAAATTGCTCCTCAGTACAGTAAGCATATCTCTGTAAGAACTCTAGATTAAAAAGACAATTGCTGGGGAATTGATAACTTAGTCTTATATACAGGTGGGCTTGAGGTGTCATTTTACACTGCAAATGTGACTTGGGAACTCTACCCCTCAGGTAGAGAACATTTGTTCCATGCCAGTGGTTTAGTTGCTAAGTCATGTCCGACTCTTGTAATCCCATGGACTGTAGACTGCATCTTTTGCATTGGCAGGCAGATTCTTTACATTGAGCCACATGGGAAGCCCCCTATGACCAATATAGGAAACAAAAATACAGGAACTGAAAATACAGTTACTAAATATCAACACTTAGTGGATGGGTTAAACAACACAATTAGAAATTGTTGAATAGATAATTAGCAAACTGTAGAAAAATATAAACAAAATACACAGATGTGTCAGAGACATAAAAGGTTGGAAAAATACCAGTAAGAGGTCATGAGATGTGGAGGAGGGAATATGCCTTGACATGCTGAACAGGAGTTTCAGAAACAGAATACACAGAATAGGTGAGAGGAAATATTTGAAGAGACAATGACTGATCACGATTTTTCAGAATTAAGCAAAGATATGAATCTTCAGATTAAAGTAACAAAAGACATTGACCAGAATAAATAAGAACAGATCTTCATCTAGATACATTGTGGTGACACCAAAGGTCAAGAGAAAGACCTTAAAAGTAACCAGATTTGGTGGATTATCTTCTATAAAAACAATTAGATTGATAGCAAATTCCTATCAGCAGCCTGTTGAAGATATAAGTTCATGGGATAATATTTTCAATCCTCTGGGAATTCCCTGGGTTCCAGTAGTTAGGACTCCATGCCCTTACTGCTGAGGGCCTGGGTTCAATCCCTGGTCAAGGAACTAAGATTTCTTACAATCTCACAAGCAGTATGGTGTAGCCAAACCTAGAATTCTATACTCAACTATTCCAGAATGAGGGCAAAATTAATGGATTTCCAAGCAAACAAAGAGAAATAAGACTTACCACTCATAGACACATGCTTAAACATGAGTTTTTCATAGACTCATGCTTAAACTCCTGAAGAATATACTTTAAGAAAAAGAAAATTGTACCCAGAAGAAGTGTGTGAGATCTAAGAAATAAAGGTGAGCCAAAAAATGATAATTATGTAACAAATTTAAGGAAGCAATAACTGTACAAAATGATACTATTAATAATAACTATTATCAAGACATGAGAAAATGTGGACCCTAAACACTAAAACACAGTGATATTTGAGAAAGAAAGGAGATAATAAGAATTAAAGCATATCTTGGTTGCCGTCCATTCACTGACTTAAAAGAATAATTAACTTTAGACTTTGATACATCAAGTATGCATATTAAAATTGTAAAACTAAGCACCCCAAAGAGAAATGCATAAGTTCTAAACTAGGAGAGGAAATGAAAGGGGATAAAGACTCAATCAATCCATTAGAAGTCAGGAAATGAAGAAAGAAAAAGCATGCTAATAGCAAAAAGTAAGATAAATGTGTAAATAATACAATAAATAGAAATAAACTAAACTAAATTCATCCACTAAAGAATAAATGTTCTCATATTAAATTAAAAGAAATAAAATCCAGTTTAAATATATGAGGCACAAATTTCTGAGAATACATAAAATGAAATTAAGTATACCAGCAACATACCGTCTACAGGAAAGAAGCTGGTATAGCAATATTAAAACCCATCAAATTAAACTTTCAGACAAAACACTTCATTAGAAATAAGTATCAGAATGACAAAAAGAGCAGTTAACCTGGAAGATAGGATAATTCTGAACTTGTATAGATTTAGCAACATATTTTCAATACATGTGAAGCAAAAAGTAATAAAATTCTTGCAGAAACTTGACAAGTACATAATCATAATGGAAGATTTTCATACAACACTCTCAGTAATTGATAAGTCAAACAGATAAAAATTTAGTATGGTTGCAGATTTTAACAATGGTTAATAACCTTGGTCTAATGAAAGTATGTAGATTCCTAAATCCAGTAGGTAGAGAATATACATTCTTTTCAATTACATAAAGACAAATGCAAATGAATCAATAACATAGAGACAACATTCTTTGATCATAAATCAATAAAATCAGAAGAAACTCAAACCTTTTACCCCATTTAGAAACATTTAATTTTCAAAAAAATTAATGATCACCTATAAAATCCAGGATAATTTAAAAAATCATTAGAACCATGAGCAAGTTTAATAAAGGTGCTGGATATGATTAATACAAAAATATTAATAAAAACAGTAAGCAAACATATTATTTAAAAATATATGATTTATACTAGCAATTTGGTATCTAATAAAAACTCTGGAAAAAATTAAAATTTCTACTTAATAACATGCAAAAGTACCTAAAAAATGGAAAAATATATTATGCTTATGGATGAGAAAAGACTTAAACTCAGTAAGATGTCCAAATTTCTCAAGTTATTCTATAAATGCAGTGCAGTTTCAGTCAAATTCCCAAAAGGCAATATTCCATGGCTTAAACTGCTATTAAATTCATGTCCACAAGGGCTAAGTGTTGCCAGGACAATTTTGAATAATGAAAATAATATTGACAATATTAATAATATGAAGATATTTGCCTTCCAAATACTAAAATATTCAAATCTCCAAAAACTATAACAATGTGATATGTATAGAATGATAAACAAATAAACCAATAGAATAGAGAGTCTAGAAATACACAGAGAGTCTCATTATAAATCTGAGCAGAAAGGATGAAATATTAAATTACTGGTGTTAAAACAGTTGTCATATGAGGAAAGATAAAAGTCAATCTTTTTACCTTTCACCACACACAAAAATAAGTTCCAGATGCACTAGAGATTTAAATGTGAAAAAGCAAACTATGACTTTTTAGAAGAGACTTTAAGAGTGTGTCTTTTAAAAATCTCAGTTTAGGATAGAGTTTCTTGAACAATTCACTGAAAGTACAAACAAGAAAAGGAAATATTGATAAAGTCCATTAAAACAAGAAAAATTCTGTATGAAAAAAGGACAGACAAAAACAATAGACAAAGACAAAGAAAAGACTATAGACAAAGGAAAGACAATAGAAAAATATAATAAAGTGTATGAACAGAAAAATTATGGACAAGCAAAGCCTGAATGGCCAATATATATATGAACCAATCTCAAAATACATGTATATATATGAACATCTTTCAATCTTTTCAAATAGTGGAAGGAATGCAAATTAAAACCATAATAAGACACCACTGTACACACATGAAACAGAAGTTTAAATACATATGTTAACAATGATTATGGGGAATGGGAACCCTCAAGGGCTGCTGGTGATAACTGATGTAATACAACCATCTCTGAAGGTGATTTTGCAATAGCTAATACACTGAAGATGAGCACATCTCAATATCCAGAAACTCTGTAGATGTCCAGTCAGATCAGCAGAGGGTTAGTACTAGAGAGTCCATTTCAGTGCTATTTATAATAGCAATTAAGTAGAAACAACCCAAATGTGAAAGAATGAACACAGAAGTGTGTTTTCTTCATTCAATGACTGTTATACAGCAGTTGGATGAGTTCGGTTACTAGCATCAACATAATAGTCTCCAAGGAGTGATATTAACTTAAGGAAAGTAAGTTGCACAAGGGTGTGTGAGGATAGGATGATGGTAACACGAGCAACAGTAAGAATCCCAGCTCCTAACATGGCACCTGCCCACCACACTCCGGGCATTACCCTAAAGGCTTTGCACACCTTCATTCAGTTAATCCTCGAAACAGCTCCTATGAGGTGGAGTCCTTATCATTCCCACAGTACAGACAAGGAACTTAAGACAGAACAATGTTCACTATGATGCTATTTATGTGACATTCTAAAACATGCAAAAATAATATATGTTCTTTATGGATACATACATGCACAAACAAAAATTCATGAAAATAATGGATGCCAGTTGATGATACTGTTTGCTTGTGGCAGGGTGTGGCAGGTGAAGGGATGGACCGTGAGGCTTTAGACCTACCTGTTGTGTTTAATTCCTTTAAAAAAGAGAAAGTCCTATGATAATTACACAAAATGTTAATATCTGTTATACCTCTTATATCTGAGTGGGGAGTACATGAATGTCTAATATTTTCTATATGTTTGAGTTGTGGCAATCTAAAATGTAGAAAAATTTAAGGAATCAACTTCTGGAAAAGAAAGAAAACAGGATGGAGAAGCAAAAATCTGGTGTCTAGATGGGCTTGTAAGGGTTAACATGACTGGTACACTTGGGAAGGTGATCATGGAAAACTGAAAACTAGAAGGAACAGGTTAGCTCAAGCCCTAACTATGTGCTTAAGACCTGTGTGACTTCTGGCAAGTTGTTTCACTTCTCCAAGTTTCAGTTTCATCATCTGCAAGACAGAGTTAATAATACTTCCCTCTTAGGTTGTGATAAGGAGCAAGTGAGGAGGAAAAGAAAAAGTTAAACACGCAGCAGAGTCTGGTGATAGTTACCATCGCCGTTTTCCAGAGGAGTCAAGCCTAAGCAGCCTGCCGGCTGATGTCAGGGTCCCAGCCACAGCCCGTGGACCAACGACCACGGCTGTGCTCCTTGTTCAGGTAAACCAAGGCAAGGCCTCAGGTCCAGGGACTGGGGTGCAGATGGCTTTGCTAGGGTGGGGACCCAGGCTAAGGCAGAACTCAGAAACCCAGTTATGGGTCCTGGGCACAGGCCACACACAAGGTGAGCCTCGGCCTTGACTGGCAGCTGGAGGGATTTAAGGAGACTGTAGATCTCGGAGTGAAGCTATCCTTTTAAAAAAATTAATAAGCTCTATTCTTTAGAGTAGTTTTAGGTTCACAGCCAAATCGAGTGGAGTACAGAGAGTGTCCACATCCCACCTGTCCCCACCCACAGCCTCCCACATGTTGACTTTTGAGACCATTCTGCAGTGGGCGGCCCATTAAAGTTTGGAGCTGGTTCTCTCTCCTCCTCTGGTCTTCGTACGAATAACTTTCTTGTGTGTCTGTGCATACAGGTGAGCGTAGGCTGGAGAATGAAAAGGACAACTTTGAAAAGGGGGCTGAAGACAAGTTCATGTTGGATGCCCCTGACCTGGGGCAGCTCATAAAGATCAATGTTGGCCACAACAACAAGGGGGCGTCTGCGGGCTGGTTCCTGTCCAAGGTGGGTTCAGCTGCCTGTCTGCAGTCCCTTGGCCTGGGAAGGGGGAGTTCTGGCTCCTCAGAGGCTGTGCTTCAGACCTAGATTCCCTCCTTAGGTCCATCAGCCTCCATCCTTCTACCTAAGCCCCCGGTCAGCCATGCTGCTCTCCCCACAGCCTCTCAGGCTTTGCCTGTGTTATCTATCGCCTTCCCAGAAGGACCGCTTCTCTCATCTGCACCCATCCAGGGTCTGATCCTCCTGCAGAGCTCTGTCACTAAGCCTTCCCTGACTCTGGCCACCAGAACCTCTCCCTCCCACGAGTGTCTATAACCCTGCTGGCTTGTAGCATTCATTTCACCTTAATCATAAGCGACCTTGTAACTTATCTTGGGTCATTGCTTTGTACCTCAAACTTCTGGATCTCAGGTCCTCATAATTTTACCTAACCAGGACAAAGTTAAGAGTCAAGAAGAAAACAAAAAGGCTTCTGAGAAGCTGAGATCTATCTGGCTTAAAGTTCACAAGAAGAGCTCATGCCCCAGGTACTACCTTACCCTGCCCTGACTTTGAAAGCAAGACCCCTCAGATTCTCACTCAGTCTAATGCTTGCTTATAATCCCTTCTAGCAAATTGCTACTCGTAATTTTAAATCTATATAGCAGAAAATTAGAGGTAAAAAGAGACACTGAAATTGGTGGGGTTATTGAGAATTGCAGTGGAGAGTCAGAGAAGACAGAAAAAGTCAAAAGAATATTGAACGATCATGGAAGTCTGAGGTCATTTAGAAAATTGGCTACCAGCCTTTGCATGTGTTTTCCTTAGTCATGAGGCTATCCACATCTTTCAGCTCATCATAGAATGATAGGAAAAAACGGATGTGTGACGTATTTTGAAAAATATTTTGAAAAGGTCTTACTGCTTAAAAACACAACACCCTTGGATTTATAATAATCTGACTACTGAGAATGAGGCTGTCTGAATAGTTGAGGTTTTGTTACTCCTTAATTTCGTATACCATGCTGTGGCAGTTAGGAATGTGCTTGGCTGCAAAGATCAGAAATTGAGGTGCAATCAAGGGCTTATTTTTCTCATCTCATGTGAAATCCAGATGTGGCCAACTCAGGGCTGGTGCAGCAGCTTTCTGAGACCTGCTCTCTCGCTGAGTCACCATCCTCAGCACAGTGGCTTTCATTCTCCAACTTGTCTCACGATCACATGTTGGCTGTTGAACATCTAGGCATCTTATCTGTGTTCCAGGCAGGAAAAAAGAGAAGACCAAACGGGAAAGACTTTTTTTTGGTGGCACGCCTTGCCTTGTTTTGAGAGAAACATAACCCTCTTTGGAACCTCTGTGTGTGTCATAGGGCACCCTAGCTGTACTGGAAATTGGGACTTCAAGTAGGTTTTCCAGCCGTTATGGCAGAAGTAGGCTAAGAAGGTGATTGGAAAGGGTGTTGAGTAAGAATATTTGCATGTCTGCCACATGTCTCTCCATAACTAGCCTGAAATTTCCTTGAGGGCACCTCCCCAGCTCTTGGCATGGGACGAGGTGCTGAATCAGCAAAGCAAGGAATGGCCAAGTTTCTTTTGGAAAGAGGGGGCTTCCTGGCTGCAAGAGGAGCCAGCCTGATGCTATGGGTTCCCGCAGGTTAAGTGGAGCTGCTGCTTGGATTGGAGAAGAAATGGGGCAGGAGTCCAGAACCTAGAGAGCCAATGTCCAGGCAGAAGTGTGTCCTCAGCACAGAGGAGGCAGTGTGCTTTATGACCTCAGCCAGAATGGGGCACAGAGAGATACCTTGATGAGTCCCTTCATCCTGGGAAAGAAGATTGTCAAAGTGAAAACGCAGGAGTAGCTGAGGGAGCTGCAAAGTGCACCCGAGGGCCTGAGGGTGACCTTGACATAGTTGTTGCAGCTATACCTCGTGAGGTCAGGTTCCTTCTTGGTCACCTGGACCCTAATCCCTTGTGCTTTCCTTTGAAACATGTCTTTTTGTCATCTTCATGCTCAAAGGAAAGGGCAGCACGACAAGGTGTGAGATATAGGGTAAGAACACTTTTCCTTTCAAATGCTGAAAATCTTGTTCTGTTACCTTCTGAAATTTGATATGGAAGCCGCACAGACTTTTGTTTCTTTCTGGACAGCCTCTTTTGTGGGGTTTTTGTTTCAGCTAGGATGCTTGTAGGATTTTTTCTTTTTACTTATAATTTAAAATTCTTGCCAGATAATGTCTAGGAGTAAGGTCTTTGTTAGTTCATTCATCTCCCCTCACCCCCTCTCCCTTCCCTTCTCTTCCTTCCCTCCTTCCTTTGTTTTTAAAAGAAAAGTGAAGTCTCTCAGTTGTGTCTGACTCTTTGGGATCCCATGGACTATAGCCTGCCAGGCTTCTCTGTCCATGGCATGTCCCAGGCAAGAATACTGGAGTGGGTTGCCATTTCCTTCTCCAGGGGATATTCCTGATCCAGGGATCGAACTTGGGTCTCCCGCATTGCAGGCAGACTTTTTATTGTCTGAGGCACCAGGGAATCTTGTTTTTAACTTCTCTATAACATGAGTCTTTTATATGATGCCTAGGATATTTTTTGTTTATTTGTTTATAGCTCAGAAAAGAGATCTAGTAAATATACTAAGAGGTCAGAAAATATACTAGATTCTTGCTTGGCTGGCTTTATTCTGATCTCTTCTTCAGGAAACAATTATCCATTTACTGGATCTCCACTCTATTTTCAAAAGCTCTCAGCTTCCCTTTTATTCTTTCATCTCTATTTTCTTTGCATTCCATAAGAACTTGTCAAATTCCCTCCCACCTTATTATTGACTTGATTTTCATACCAACAGTTCCATTTCTTTCTCCTATTAATATGCATTTTAATTTTGAATATTTCTTCAAATTATTTTTTCTTCTCACAAAAGTAATATATATATTCATTGTTAAAAGTTTAGGAAATACAAATAAGCAAAAATGAAATAATCTGAACCACCATAACTTCACCACCCAAAGGTAACCAATGTTAATGTTTTCATACATATCCTCCAGGCATTTTTCTGTGAATTAATACACATATGTCATTTAAAATAATGGGGTCATAATAAGCACAATGTCTTACAAACTGCTTTGTCTTCATTTTCAAGTGTAATGTACATACTTCCTTATGTTATTTAAATAGAATAATAATGATATTTCACAATGCAGTTTTTAATGACCATAATACTTCACTACCCAGATATACCATGAAGTATTAAACCAGTTCCTCTTTGTTGAACATTTCAATCTTTTCCCTCAAACTTATTGAGGAAATAAACTGTGCTATGACAAACATTCTCATAGCTTATCTGCACACACATTTATGATTACTTCCTACAAATAATTCCTAGGAGATACTTAAAGGTCGTGCAGAATTGTAAGAGCACTGATGAATTTGCGGCTACACAGTTTTGCTTTCCTTGATATGTTTCCTCATGTGATCTGGTTCTCTTTTCATATCATCTTACTGCCTTTTCGCTGCAGCCCCTCCTGTCCTTAAAGATGTTCACTCCTATTTCATAAAGACTGTATTTTGTTGTATTCTATTAAGCAAATCAGTTTCTTGTAGGGCTTTCCTGGTGGCTTAGATGGTAATGAATCCGCCTGCAATGCGGGAGACCTGAGTTCAATCCCTGGGTTGGGAAGATCCCCTGGAGGATGGCATGGCAACCCACTCCAGTATTCTTGCCTGGAGAATCCCCGTGGACGGAAGAGCCTGGTAGGCTACAGTCCACAGGGTCACACACAGTCAGACACGACTGAGCGATTAAGCACAGTTTCTTGTCTTCTTTTTCTGTATCCTTTATCCTTTATTATACTTTATACTTTTTTTGTATTCTTTATCTTTTATTCAGTCCTTTCCAAATTCCCGCTCTTCCTTTCATTCTTCAGAATGATTTTTCCTTCTTCCCTCTCTCCTTCCTTCCTTTGCTTCTTTTTCTCTTCTTTCTGTTTGCTACTCAGACACCGTTTTAAACCAGAAGCCAAGCAGGCTACTTTCAGTGTGAGATAGGTTATTCTCTTTGGGGCCAGTATTATGTGTAGGGGTGAGTTCAGGGCCTGACAGGCAGGTCCCCAAGGGAAGTGTGCCTCCAAATGTTCACTGGCTTCTGAAGAACTCCTAACAGTCTGTTCCTTTAACTTAAGCCAAACCGAAATACTCCTTGGGAATAAGACATAAAAATAATTCTAGCATTTTGTCGGTCAGAGCACCTGGATTTACTAGGTATTTTCTTGAAGGAGAATTCTGGTGAAGAAGGAGGAGGATTTTAGGTCCCAGGCAGAGTGAGCGCAACCTGAAAACCAGAGGTTTCTCTCATCACTGTGACTACACAGTGCATAGCCAGCCCTAGCCTCCTGCCTCCCCATGGAGACTGGGTCTCCACGCTGCCCTTCCTCACCTCACCTCCACAGAGACACCAGTTAAAGTGCCGGTAGATTGCCGTCATCTCCACATTCGACAACTGTACAGCAAGTGCTCCCATTCTAGAAGTGGCCTGGTTGGTTGCCTTGGACATCACGTGACAACCGCTCCTTTGGTATTTCTGTGTGGGGGCTTGGAGGGATAAATCTGACAGCCTTCATAGGTTGCATCCCTCCTCTTCTTCGTTAGTCAGTTGTCCACATGTGTTCCTCACACCCCCCCACCCCAATTCTTCATTCCTTCCCTGAGGCTGGCATCTCCCTCCCACAGGCTTTGCACATGGCTTGGGTCCCCAAGTCTGCTTAGTCCAACAGTTGTGACTAATTCAGATCATCAGTTCAGCTCAACCACCGGCTCCAAAGAACAAGAGTCACAAGATGGAACATCACACTGCCAGTGGGCCCTGCCTTTGGCCCATCTGCTTTGGGAGAGGATTTGCCCAAGGTCCTGTAGCTCTTTGGGGCAGGGATGGGACCAGTCCCCAGTCCTCTGGACTCCAAGTCTGGATTCTCTCTGCTGTGCCATGTGTTAGAAAATCCAGAATTGGGTAGGTCCCCTGCCATGTGCCTTAGGGAGCTTAAGTTCAACCAGTACCACTGGCTCTGACAGGAAGTGGAGACAGAGACTCATGGAGCAGATTTCAGGGACCTCAAGAAACTCAACGTGGCCTCATGTCACCAATTTATACTCGACATCCAACAAACATTTTCTGAGTGACTGTTACCTCCGAGGCCCTATATTATGAATGACTGTTACAATGGACATGGTTCTGCCTCTAAAAGAGATAAGACAAGTTCCTGAATACTTACAGTAAGGTAGGTTATTTACTGTAAGGCAGGTTACTTACTGAAACCTTATATCCCAAAACTTTAGGGAAAGTCCAGCTTTCAGTAAATGAACATTCTGTCCTAAGGGTCCTACAAGTATTGATCAATCCAAATGTCCTGGTTTATAAATCAGAAAACAGAATCACCCCAACTTTAATACAAAGCTGGATGAGGCAAGTATCTTTCATGAGGTACAAACAAATGTTGGGGTGAGCAGCACCTGACTGGGCCTCAGAGGAGGCTCCAGGGAGGGTCTGTTGGAGCTGGGCCGTGAACACGGGCAGGGCTTTGCCAGGGAGGGCAGGGAGGAGGAGGACAGATGAGGGGCAGCTGGAAGGTGGCCACGGAATACTGAACAACTCAGGGCCAGGGCACAGGGCTCAGAGAACTGAAGCACGTCAGGGGGTAACTGAGGGCAGGACCACCGCGGGCACGATCAGAAGAAGCCACTGAAGGTCTTTATTGAATGAGGCAGCCTGAGGCAGTAATGAAGGAGTGGGTACGTGGACGGGCTCAGAAGAGAGGAATGAAATGTAGAAGAAGGGGTCAGAGCGTTGGAGGTGACACCACTCAAGTGCTGTCGCCTGCAGTTAACTCGTGTTGGTGGTATGTTACCTAGCAATCGGCACAGTATTTGTGTGATGAGTGAGGCATAGGGCGTGGGGGGCAGCAGGAGGCCACCAACCCCTCTTCCTTTGCTGAGCTTCAATTTCCTTTGTAGACCATTCCCTCTTTCTTCCATGAGCCCAGGTCTCCCCTACTAACCCCTGGAAGCTGAGATCTATTTCCAAGTGGTTCGTAAGCTCCAAAGTCTTCATCTTTTTTTTTTTCTCCTGTGTCAAAACTTACCTGTCCCTTGCCCTATGATCTGAGAGCTAGAGATGTAAACCACGGTTCAATAGTGGTTCTTGGGGGGTGCTTTGGTGGCCCAGTGGTTAAGAATCTGCCTTGTAATGGAGAGGATGCAGGTTTGACCCCTGTTTGGGGAATAAAGATCCCATATACCATGGGGCAACTAGCCTACGTGCTCCAGAGCCCCCACGCCATGATTAGAGAGTCCATGTGTGGAAATGAAGTTCTCAAGTGCTGCAGCTAAGACCCAGTGCAACCAAAAAGAAAAAATAATGGTTCTTGGAATGTGGCATGGCTGCTTATGAGTCAAGCGAGGGCCACCTTGCCTGGATAACAGATGCATTTTCAAAGGGAAGATTGGAAACACGGGTAGGTCTTACATCATTTTCTGCTTCATGACTGGTGCAGAGAGGGTGCTGTGGATCACCCAGGCTGTCTGCATCTCAGGCACCTTGGCATGTGGGTGGGAAGGAGAAGACCCTTCAGTCTCCCTGGATTGCCCTGCATGTGGAGGTTTCATCTCTTCTGCCCAAAATAAGCCTCTTCTCTAACCAGGCTATGTCAGGTTGGTGGAAGTTATTCCCATGTCAAGGAGGGAGGTCTACTGTGGGTCATGGTTGACTCTCCACATCCATCTACAATGTACTGACTCTAAGACCAGCTCCATGTGCACACACTGACATGTCTAACCCATGCAGGAGGAAATCAGGCCCCCAGGCTCTGGGTCATGTAGGGGTATCTGTGAGCTGTCTGGAAAGATCCAGAAAGAAAGATACCCTACTTGTCAGCTTTATCTTTGGCTCCCCTTTTTTGTGGATGGTTTATTCTCTCTGCTTCCTTTGTGGCTCAGATGGTGAAGAATCTGTCTGCAATGCAGGAGACCCGGGTTTGATCCTGGGGTTGGGAAGATGCCCTGGAGAAGGGAACGGCAATCCACTCCAGTATTCTTGCCTAGAGAATTCCATGGACAGAGGAGCCTGATGGGCTACAGTCCATGGGATCACAAAGAGTCAGACACAACTGAGCGACTATGCTTTCATGCTTTCACACTTTTATCATCTTTAGGGATTACCAGGTGGCGCTAGTGGTAAAGAACCTGCCTGCTCATGCAGGAGACATAAGAGACGTAGCTTTGAATCCTGAGTTGGGAAGATCCCCTGGAGGAGGGCATGGTGACCCACCCCAGTATTCTTGCTTGGAGAATCCTATGGACAGAGAAGCCTGGCAGGCTACGGTCCATAGGGTCACACAGAGTCAGACATGACTGAAGTGACTTAGCACTATCCTCTTTGGGTTTTTGTAATGGGTGGTCTCATTGTAACTTCTGTGTCCCTGTTTTTGCAAGACAGAGTGGGCCCCACCGTGGACAGACCCCTTTCTCTAGCTGCCATCTTGCCTCCCATGGCTCATGACCCCTGGTTTCCATTTGCTTCTTGGAAGGTCAGCCAAGCCTGTAGACTTGTCTGCAGGTGGAGAATATTCCTCCAGGAAATAATGGTTCTTGTTTGCCATCAGGCTATTGCTTCTGTCTTTCACACAGACTCCACGTGTGTGCTTCTATATCATTCATGGTAAGGTCGCTTCTATCTTTCCAGTCTTATTTTACTGTTGTCTCTGCTAGAACAACAGTGGTCTGTAGGGAGCACCACCATTTCATTCTGTTAGCAAAAACCACTCCTGAGCTGTCTTGAATTCTTAAAAGGAACATTATGGAAACCCAGGCATGTCTGGGCAACTCATGAACTGAAGTGGAAAAGCTGTTTGTTCTTCCCCAGAGAGGCCCTCAGTAATGTCCTTTGAGCAACCAGGAGCATGGGTCCCAGGCCACAGGACCCTTATTAGCAGAGACCAGAATGCCTTTGGGAGAACCGTCAGTCCGTCTCGGGGACAGTCTTCCTGTGGAAGTGCTGGCATCAGCTCCTTCTATGTCTCACTTCTCTACTCCTTCCCACCACGCTCACCACTTGCTACCAGATATGTTCCAAAATGTTCTACCCTCTGGGAGCCAGCTTCCTCTAGCCTCATCCTGCAGACTAAATAATTGTCTACATTTTTCAATATATTGTGTTAGCCAAAAAGTTCATGATGGAAAAACCTGAACAATCTTTTTGGTCAACTCAGTATATTTGGAAGTTTTCTAGAACTATCCATGGGCTTTCATCCTTTCTACGCCAGTGTTTAAGTCTTGGCCTTTCTTTGTGATTTCATATTTTGGAAAGTCTAAATTTTAGAGTCTTGGAAGTTACTCAAACACTCATTCATATGTTGTCTCTTTCCTTTGTGGTTCAGCTGTGCAAGCTAGTTTTACCCTATACAGGTGTTCAATGGCAACACATTCCGTTTTTCAGATTAGCTAAGCTTATTAAGCCAGGAATTTCCATCAGACACCAGGTCAGGAGAAGGCCCTTTATTGATGGCATCTCTGTGAACTGCGAGGGTGGCTGTCATTTGCTCTTGGAATCATGGCTGGCATTCCATTCTGTGAAATGTCTTCCACATTTGAAGACAGAAATGGTCAACCGGTATATCTAGATTTATTAGTAGACTTGACAGCTTATCTGATAAGCTAAGTCCTTTCTTTCTTCACCTTGCTTTCCCAACCTTGTAAAAGTCAGCGTGAAGCCAGTTAAGAGGTATAGCTCAGATTCTTGGCTCCCCAGTCTCCCCCAATCCCAATCCTGGGAGACAAAAGCAAAAGCAGAGAAATGCACAGATAGATGAATTGATAGAGGCTAGACTTTCTTCAGTGGCAGAACCCGCTCTGGACAGACCACAGTGGTCATTAAGTATTCACCTCTGTAAGCACAGATACGTGATAAAATCAGCAAGCTCTGAAGGGTGACTCTTAGCAACCAAACTTACAAGGGACTGATTTATAAACCTAAGCTTGAACGCCAATTTACCTGGGGAGAGAAGGCTGGTCACTGGCTCAGGCCACTGCCGCCTCCTGGTGGGTAGCATCCTCAGGAGGCCAGTCGTGAGCCCAGAAGTTTCCTGAATGAACACTGGCTTAGAACTAGGTGAGGTGCCTTTAGGTAGGTCAAGACGTGCCCTGTTTCCACACTACAGGTGCTTCGATCTTAGGAAGTGAGTTTTTCACTGAAAATCAGCCCTATTCTGTCAGGCAGCCCTGGGAACACTCACCCTGTCTGTCACCAGGTATGTCTACCTTCTCATTATGATGGAAGACTCGACCTGGTTATTGACGATCACAACTGACAATCACAATTACCTTAGAGTGAGTTTTCAGTTGGATGTTTCTGCGACATTTTGGGAGGGCCTCTCAGCATCTTGGTGAGCTTGAGAAGACACATTTATCTCAGCCTGCTAACCTAGCTCACGTGTGAGTCTCCCCAGGGGCTTCATGAATGCCCAGTTCCCCTACCATCACTGTCCGTGGTTGACATTTTCTGACCAGCTCACCAGATCCCAGGATTCAGTGTACCAGAATCAGGGCTTCTAGCTCCCTTTGCATGGACTCTCCTTCTCAGTAAGAAGGCCAGAATCCCAAGCTTCAACAGGTGAGGAAGATGATGATCTTGGTGCTGTCTGCAAATCCAAACTTCCAGTTCTGGCTCCCCAGTCTCACTGGGCACCTCCTGCCAAGTTTCTTGCATTGCATTTTTAAATGGTCATCAGCAGAAGAGGGAATAAAAGCTCAGTAATTCAAGAAGGAGGTAACTCTTAGTCATGCCTGTGTGACTCTCACTGCTTTGCAAGGTTTTCCTGACAACAGGTGTGTCCTTGTGATAAGCTCTCCTTGGGCCACTAAGAAGATGAGAACATATTCTTAGAGTTCACTCAAGTGATGGAGGAATGGATTTGGTCACCGCGTGTGACCTCCATGACATTTAACCTTCCCTCTCACTGTCTCTTTCCCAGATTGTCATTGAAGATATTGGGAACAAAAGAAAATATGATTTTCCTCTTAACCGCTGGCTGGCCTTGGATGAAGATGATGGCAAAATCCAGAGGGATATCTTAGTGGGTGGAGCTGAGACCACAGGTAGGACTGAAGAAAGGGGAGGTGCAAATTAGCTAATATTTCACTTTCTGTCTGAGGGTCGGTGTTCTCATCTGTGGACCTAGAGACTTTCAGTCAAGATGGAAGCAGTCGTGTCTTCAGACAACATTCCTCCTGCCCCTGAAAGTGCTCTCCGCTCCTCTGGGCTGAAGTCTGGGCTCTGCTGACGCCAGAGGAGAGGGGGAAGCACCCCTGAGTAGATGCTGACTTCCCAGGGAGAAGAAGTTACCCATAGGACAGAGCCAGGAAGTGAACATGTGTCCATTTACCAGGATCTCGACTCACTCTTCCCGCCTCCTATGAGTGCTTTCCATAAGCCAGGCTTTCTCCAGGCGCCTGACCCATGTCATCTCCTCTAGTCTTCACAGCACCCCTACAGTACGGAACAGCTGCTGTTCCCATTTCACAGTAGAGGGAAACTGAGTCACAAGTTAAGGCACCTCTTCAAGGTCACACAGCTGCTAAGTGACAGATCCAGGATTTGGTCTGCTTCCTAAATCTCTGCCCTGTAGCAGTGCCATGCACAACTTGAAACTCCCAGCACGAAAGTGCATAGATGTTCCCGAAGATTGATGTTGGTGAATACGCGCAGCTGAGAATGTGCTCTGGGGCAGACTCTCCCACGGCTCCTGCTGCACACAGGATGGGGCCAAGTTCTGGGGTACTGGACAAAAATTGCTGCATGGCTGGGCTCCAGCTGACTGTTTCAGCAGCATCTTTCAACACCTTCTCCCGCCACTCCTACACACGCTCCCGCTCCCCGCCCCATCTGCCCACCGTCTACTCTGTCCTGCATCTACAACCCTGCCCCCCACATCTCATCCACACGCCTTCCCTCTCCCTCCTCTGAGCTGCCGGCCTTCCTCTTTCTCTGCCTCTCTCTTTGGAGCATGCTTTCTCCTCAGCCCCTGAGGCCATCTCTCTTCCTTCTCAGAATCCTGCTTCCAGTCACTTCCTCTGAACCCCACCCTCCACCCCTTCTAGGTGGGACCATTTCTCCCTTCTTTTGCTCCAGACATTTTGAGTAGAACTTGATGGCTACTGTTTAGGAAGCCACATATGCTCCTCTGCTCTAGTGCTTTTCTATTTTTCTTCTTTCCATAAAAATATTTTTGTTTATTTACTGGTTGTGCCTGGTCTTCATTGCTGCTCGGGAGCTGCTCTCAGTTGTGATACGAGGGCCTCTCACCGCGGTGACTTTTCTTGTTGCAGGGCATGGGTTCTACAGCGTGTGGGCTTCAGTGGGCCCCTGGCTCTAGAGCACAGCCTCAATAGTGTGACACTTGGGTTTAGCTGCTCCGTGGCACGTGGGATCTTCTTGGACCAGGGATCCAACCCTTGTCTCCTGCGTTGGCAGGTGGATTCTTTACCACTGAACCACCAGGGGAACCCTCCAGTGTTTCTCAACCTTGGCGTTGTGGTGCCTTGGCCTTACCTGACCACTGTTGGGTGCATCGTAAGTGCGTTACTAGAGTTTGCCAATCATTTACTTAAAAACATACACTAGGGCTTCCCAGGTGGGTCAGTGGTAATGAATCCGCCTGTCAAGGCAGGAGACATGGGTTCGATCCCTGATCTGGGAAGATCCCACATGCCACGGAGCAACTAAGCCAGAGTGCCACAATTATTGAGTCTGTGCTCTAGAGCCTGGAAACCACAACTACTGAAGCCCACGTGCCTTAGAGCCAGTGCTCCGCAACAAGAGAAGCCGTCGCAATGAGCAGCCCGTGATCACAACTAGAGAGTAGTCCCCCGCTCAAGGCAGCTAGAGAAAAGCCCAGGCAGCAATGAAGACCCAGCACAACCAAGAGTAAAAACAAATAAATAGAAAATCACTGCGTTTTATGCTTGAAGTGGGCATGCGTAAAATATACTGCAATAAAGTTGTTAAAAAAAAACATACATGAGAGCAGATTTAATATGCCCCCTTAACTGTGTTACTATTACTTGCTTTCAGTGGTAGAGGAGGAGGAGACATGAGTCAGACACTGGGATTGCTCACAGCCTAGGCCGTGGCAGTCTGTCTAGAGTGAGAACCTCTCTGGCCACACATTGCAAAGCTGGAGGCCCACTCTTTGAGGGTGGTAGCTATTCCTTTTTATTGTCACATTCTCCCAAGGCCTATTATATAGTAAGCATTCAGTAAATGTTTGTTGAGCAAGGGAAGGTGCAAATAATGTGCTATCTCCCAGAGATGTTCTATTTCTCTAAGATGAGGGGATGAAGTTAGGATGAAAGGGAGGTGGAGGACTAGCAAGGTTCAAAGTACCACTTAGACTCCTGGACAGAGTGAAAAAAATGCAGACCCAACCTTAACAGAATTTCCTGTAGTTTCTTGTTCAAATGATTGTCTTTGGTGTTTTCCTTTACCCTCTCTCATCTTGGAGTTTAATCCCCCTTGCTGAGTCTTCTCCAGAACTCTGTGTCCTCACATCGCCTCTGACCAAACCCCAGATGGCCCAGGTCCCTCCCTCAGTCTTCTGACATCGCACCATGTCAGGTGGCCAAGAAGGCCATTGGTGCCCTCTATTAGAGTTACACTTTTAAGTTATGAGAAAAAGAGCAAGCTCCATGAGTCAGAGAGCCCTGAATATAAATCTCTATTAATCGAGTTGACTATTATAATTAAGTGAGACATAATAGAATTCATCCGGCAGCTACTAATAATATGCACATGGTAATTAGCATTCATAATAAGTACTATTCTGAGTCAACCCAAGCTCTTCTCTTTGGTAGTTTCCTGTAATCATGCCTGACAGCTTCCTGTAACCTGCAGTTTGTTCCTAAAGTCAGATGCCCTGGCACCCAACTCTGAAAAAGATAAAGTGAGGTGGAGAGGGCTCTGGATGTCATCCAGAAGAGGAGGATTTGGGGGGGGATAGGGGTGTATGGCAGAGGTATGGCCAGGTGTGGGAGAAGGTGGGTAGGACATCGTTATCAGCCTGCACTGACCCCTCTCTCTCCCCCTTTTGTTTCCATACCAGCCATCTCATACGTTGTCACTGTCTTCACTGGGGATGTCCGGGGGGCCGGGACCAAATCCAAAATCTACTTGGTCATGTATGGGGCCCGAGGGAATAAGAACAGCGGGAAGATCTTCCTGGAGGGCGGTGTGTTTGACCGTGGCCGCACAGATATCTTCAACATTGAGTTGGCTGTCCTCCTCAGCCCCCTGAGCCGGGTCTCCATTGGACACGGCAATGTGGGCGTCAACAGAGGCTGGTACTGTGAGAAGGTAAGGGAGACCCTGGCCTGATTCAGACACCCTCTTTACTTTGCAGGCTGTTGTTTTGTTGTTTTAGTCACCAAGTCACGTCTGACTCTTTTGTGACCCCATGGAATAAAGACCACCAGACTCCTCTGTCCATGGGATTTTCCAGGCAAGAATACTGGAGTGGGTGGCCATTTCCTTCTCCAAGGGATCTTCCCAGCCCAGGGACTGGACCAGAGTCTCCTGAATTGGCAGGCAGCTTCTTTACTGCTGACCCTTAACACAGTAAGATGCACTTTACCACTGAGCCACCAGGGAAACCCCTCACTTGCAGCTACAAACTCTAATGTGAATCCTGCTTCCTACTGCCTTTGGACGAGTTACAAAGCACATGGGAAATCCCTTTCACGGGGACGCTGGGATGGTAACATGCCCATCTCTCATGTCTAGCTGATGGTCGGGAATGGGGGCTGCTCTGTACATGCAACCAGGGACCAGACACAGGGTAGGTGATCCGGGGTGTTCAGCTGATGGTTATAGTCTGTCCTGATTCCTGATGCAGTGTTCCACTTTAGTTTTTAAATGGCTCCATCAACAAGTATTTTTAAATACATGATTTTAATTGTGGAATACTTATGCTTTAAAGAGTATACATAATAAAAGTAAGATACAGAGAATGATTTAAAAGCTCAAATGTTAATTTTGCCTACCACTTAACTTATAAGAACATTTCCAATGCTTCTGAAACTCCTCTGTGTCTTTCCCCAATCATATAATTCTCTCTCTCTCTCAAAGAACGTATACTATTAAGAATTTTGTCTAGGTGTATATTGTTGGTTACTGGCAGTTTTCACTCAACATTATGCTTTAGAGATCATCTGAATTGATAGCAGAAGCTGTAGACCATCCCTTTCCCATCTACTCCATTGCATGAATTGATTTCAACTTATTTGTCTATTCTTCTATTCATGGACATTTGGGGGTTGTTTTTTGATTTTTGCTACTATAAACAATACTTCCATGAAATTATTGTATGTACATTTTTGTACAAATATGCCGGAGCTTCTCAGGATGGAAGTTCTAGGCTGTAAGGTAAGTGAATCCAGTTCTGAAGCTTAATTGTTTCCAAAGAATTTTAGTTTGTTTTCCAAAGTAGTTGCACCATTTTATTCTATCAGCCATTTATATGACATATTTTGTTCCAGACATCCTTGTCAACACTAGATATTGCCTGAATTTTAAATGTGCACCATTTTGGGTGTATAAACTGATCTTCATGTGTTTTTAATTTTTATTTTCATGATTACTACTGAAGTTGAACATCTCTTCATTTCTTTACTGTCCATTCATATTTCTTTTTATGGAAAATGCCTGTTCATGTCTTTTGCTGATTTTTCTGTTGAATAATCTATTGCTGGATTTATTTTCAGCAGTTCTTTATTAAATCCAGATAGTAATTCTTTATTGATAGTATTGTTGTTGTTGTTTTTCAGTCACCAAGTCATGTCCAGCTCTCTGCGACCCCATGAACTGCAGCATACCAGGCTTCCCTGTCCTTCACTATCTTCCTGAGCTTGCTCAAACTCATGTCCATTGAGTCAGTGATGCCATCCAACTATCTTATCCTCTGTTGCCTCCTTCTTCTCTTCCCCTCAGTCTTTCCCAGCATCAGTGTCTTTTCCAATGAATCAACTCTTTGCATCAGGTGGCCAACGTACTGGAGCTTCAGCTTCAGCATCAGTCCTTCCAATGAATATTCAGGGTTGATTTCCTTAAGGATTGACTGGTTTGATCTCCTTGCTGTCCAATGGACTCCCAAGAGTCTTCTCCAGCACCATATTTTGAAATCATCAATTCTTTCGTGCTCAGCTTTGTTTATGGTTCAACTCTCACATCTGTACATAACTACTGGGAAAACCACAGCTTTCACTATGTGGACTTTTGTTGGTAAATTGATATCTCTGTTTTTTACTACACTGTCTAGGTTTGTCATAGCTTTTCTTCCAAGGAGCAAATGTCTTTTAATTTCATGGCTGCAATTGCCATCTGCAGTGATTTTGGAGCCCAAGCAAATAAAATCCATCACTGTTTCAACTTTCTCACCTTCTATTGGCCATGAAGTGATGGGACTGGATGCCAAGATCTTTGTTTTTTTTTAATGTGGGGTTAAGCCAGCTTTTTCACTCTTCTCTTTCACCCTCACCAAGAGGCTCTTTAGTTCCTCTTCGATTTCTGCCTTTAGGGTGGTGTCCTCTGCGTATCTGAGGTTATTGATATTTCTCCTGGCAATCTTGATTCCAGCTTGTGCTTCATCCAGTCTGACATTTCACATGATGTACTCTGCATATAAGTTAAATAAGCAGGGTGACAATATATAGCCTTGACATACTCCTTTCCCAATTTGGAACCAGTCTGTTGTTCCATGTCCAGTACTAACTGTTGTTTCTTGTCCTGAATACAGGTTTCTCAGGAGGCAAATAAGGTGGTCTAGTATTGATAGTATTGTTGATAGTATATGTTCAAATATCTTTTTGTAGCTTGCCATGTTTTTTGAAGGAGAGGAGATTTAAATTAAAAGTAATCTGTCTTATCTTTTCCTTTATGGTTAATGCATTTTGAAAGAAATTTTACTTCTCCTAAAGTTCTAAGGACATTTTCCTACATCCTCTTCTAAAATTCGTAGAGTTTGGTTTTCTTATTTATATGTTTACATCTTTAATATATCAGGCATTGATATTTGAATCAGGTGGGGATCCAACTTTCTCTTTTTCTATATAGATATTTAAATGCCCCACCAACATTTATTGAAGGACTTTAAGAATCACTTGGAATTATTTTTAAAAATAGAATCTTGAGCTCAAACCCAAACCTACTGAGTCAGAATTTCCAGGTAATCTGGGTATTTATACATGCTTGAGGTAATTGTTATCATTAAAGAAGTCTAGGAAGCCCTGGATAACTAAGTAATAATACTTTCCCCACTATTCTGAAAGAGCAACTGTCACATGACAAATTCCCCAAATGTATGATTTGTTTCGGAGCTTTCTAGGCTGTTCCATTTATTGATTTAGTTTATTCCTGCACTAATGCATTCCTCACTATCTTCACTTTACACCTTTACACTAAGTCTTGGTATCTGCTGGGGAAAATTTGCCCACTTTATTCTTCTTCACCAGGTATATATTGACCTATCCATGAGCCTTTATCTTCCATAATTTTAGAATTTTTTTGCCAAGTTCCATGAAGAACTGTTGAATAGAATGCAACTGGGTCTGTAAACTTATCTGGAAGAACTGACATTGTTACTCTACTAACTTTTCCTGCTTAGGATCATACAGTACCCCTTAAAATTTAGGTCTTTAATAATTCTCAGTGTAGTTTTATATTTTTCTTAATAAAGGTCTTGTGTGTCTTTGTAAATATATTCATAGAGACTTTTGTTGCTATTATAAGTGCTATCTCTTTAAAAACTGTTTATATATTTTTTTTGCTGGTGTAGACAGACATAGAAGTACTTCTGTATATTAAGTTTACATATAGTTATCTTGCTAAACTCTATTACTAAGACTGATCATTTGTCTATAGTTTTATTGTTAAGAGTTTTTATTCTGAGTTGGTGTTAAACTTTATCTACTGCTTTTTATGTACTTAATTAGATCGTCAAATGGCTTTTCTTTATTATTTATTATGGTGAATTACCAGTTCTTATGGTAGACCAACTCTGAATTTCTATAAGTCAAACTTGGTCATAATGAATTTTAATTTTATGCTTCTGAAATTGATTATCTAACATTTTATATAGAATGTATTATGTATTAATGTCCATGAGTGACATTGGCCCTTGATTTTCCTTTCTCATACAGTACTTGTGAGGTTTGATCTTAGAATAAAATGAGAAGCATTTTTTTCTCCTGAAAGAAGGTATTAAAAAATCTAGTGATCTGGTCAAGATAGTGTGGGATTGTGTGTGCACACCTGTGAGAGAGAGAGAAGAATTACTGATTTAAAAAAAGAAAGTTGTGTTTTTGTTTTCTTAGTTATAAAATTGGGGCTTCTGCAGTGGCTTAGTGGTAAAAGAACCTGTCTGCAATGCAGGAGATATATGAGTCCCAAGTTTGATCCTGGGTTGGGAAGATCCCCTCAAGGAGGAAATGACAACCCACTCCAGTATTCTTGCTGGGAAAAATCTCATGGACAGAGAAACCTGGCTGTTATAGAACTATTCAAGTTTTCCATTTTCTGTTGAATCTGAATGAGCTATGTTTTTCTTGGAATGCGTGTATTTGTAGACTTCAAATGTCCTGATATAAAGTCATGTACAGTATTCTTACCTTTTAACCTCCACTACCTCTGTAATTATAATCTTATTTTCATTCCTAACATCATTTATTCAGATATTCTTGCTTTTTTAAAATATAATTCTCATAAAAGTATATTTAGTCCTTTCATATAACCAACATTTTTCTTTGTTTACATTCTATTATATCTTTATTTTCTATTTTATTGTTCTTTATTAGCTCTTCTAAATTTCTCTGGGTTTCAGCTGTTGCTATTTTTTAAATAAATTCTTAAATTGTATTCTTAGTTTATTCAATTTCAGCCTTCTTCTTTTCTCATAGTATAAATGTTGATACTATAATTTTCTCTCAAAGTAGTGCTGTACCTGTGCCCCTCATGTTATATTTCTGCTATCATTCAGTTTGATTTTATTGTTTCACTTTAAAATTCAACTTTGTTGAGTTATAACTAGCATAAATAAAAATGCATTATTTTGAACTGTACTGCTCTATGAGTTTTAATGAATTCATGTACACTCATGTAACCATTACCAGAATTAATATATGAAATATTTCCATTACCCAACATGTTCCTTGTTCTCCCTCCCAGTCAGTTTCCACAATTCCAAGCAACCACCGGTCCCATTTCAGTCATTAAAGATTAAATCTGTCTTTTCTAGCATTGTCTCATGTATTAGTACTTCTTTCTTTGTATTGTTAAGTAGTATTACATTGTAAGGGTATACAACATTTTGTTTATTTATTCAACCATTCATGTATGTTTAGGTCATTTCCAGGTTTTTTGTTGTTGTTGCTATTATGAATAAAATGCTATGAACATTCATGTCCAAGTCTTTTTATGGGCATGTTTGTAATTTTTTTGGGTAAATACCTAAGAGTGGAATTTCTGTATTCTACGGTAAATATACATTTAACTTACAAAAGTCTTTTAGACTATTTTCAAAGTGGCTATACAATTTTGTATGCCCACCAGCATTATATGAAAATCCCAGTTGTTTTATATCCTCACCATCATTTAGTAATGTCATCTTTAAAATTTTTAGATATTCTTACGGATATGTAATGGAATTTAATTTTGTTTTAATCTACATGCCTCTGATGACCAATTACACTGAACATTATTTTTTCATATGCTTATTGATATTTGTATATCTTCTTTTCCTTTTACCACTTTTAAATTTTTTATCTTTTTATTGTTGAATTATGAGTTCTTTGTGTATTCTTGATACAAGTTCTATGACAGAACTATCTATAGCTATGTATGAATATGTAATATATAATTGTGATAAATAACATGTATTTTATACATAATGTTCAACTCTTTGGGATCCCATGGACGGTAGCCTACCAGACTCCTGTGTCCATGAAATTCTTCAGGCAAGAATACTGGAGTGGGTGGCCATTCCCTTCTCCAGGGGATCTTCCCGACCCAGGGATCAAACCTGGGTCTCCTGCATTGAAACCAGATTCATTACTATCTGAGCCACCAGGGAAGCCCATGATATATATTATATATAAACAATCTCCCAGTATGTGGGTTGCCTTATCATTTTCATTTTTTTAAATTTATTTTTTAATTGAAGCCAAATTGCTTTAAAATGTGTTGGTTTCTGCCATACAACAACACTAATCAGTCATGATTATACATGTGTGTGCTCAGTTGCTCAGTTGTGTCCGACTCTTTGCAACCCTATGGACTGTAACCTGCCAGGTTCCTCTGTCCATGAGATTCTCCAGGCAAGAATCCTGGAGAGGGTTGCCATGCTCTCCTCCAGGGGATCTTCCCAACCCATGGATCAAACCCACATCTCCTGCACTGTAGGCATATCCTTTACCACTGAGCCACCGGGGAAGACCCAGTTTTATATATGTATACCCCCTCTCTTTGGAGCCTCCTTCCCTTCCCCCACTCCCACCCCTCTAGGTCAGGCTGGGCTCCCTGTATTTTACTGTAACTTCCCACTAGCTAGCTATTTTACACATGGTAGTATATACATGTTTAAGCTACTTTCTCAACTCAACCCACCCAGTCTTTCGCCTGCTGCATCCACAAGTCCATTCTCTACATCTGTGTCTTCCTTCCTTCTCTGCAAATAGGTTCATCTGTCCCATTTGCCTAGATTCCATATATATGACTTAATATACGATACTTGTTTTTTGTCTTTCTGACTTACTTTACTCTGTACGAGAGGCTCAAGGTTCATCCAACTCATCACAACTGACTCAAATTCATTCCTTTTTATGGCTTAGTAACATTTCATTGTATATACATACCACAACTTCTTTATCCACTCATCCATTGATGGACATCTAGGTTGCTTCCATGCCCTGGTTATTGTAAATAGTACTGTAGTGAACATTGGGGTACATGTGTCTTTTTTTCATTATGATTTTCTCATGGTATATGCCCAGTAGTGGGGTTGCTGGGTCGTATGGTAGATTTATTCCTAGTTTTTAAAGGAATCTCCATTCTGTTCATAATCTGCCTTTTCATTTTCTTAATGTTTTAGAAGAGCAGAAGCTTTTAATATTGATGAAAGGCAATTTATCGATTTTTTCTTCTATGATTTGTGCTTTTTAGGTTCTTATTTGTCATTCCATTTGAAATTTTTTCATTACCCATTATTTATTTTGTTTTTTTTTTCCTTTTTTTTCCCATTTATTTTTATTAGTTGGAGGCTAATCACTTTACATCATTGCAGTGGTTTTTATCATACATTGAAATGAATTAGCCATGGATTTATATCCATTATTTATTCTGAAATGTAATTTTTAGGTTCCAAATACATATTGCTTTCTATGTTTTTGTTATTTATTTCAATATTGTTTTAATCAGGAAACATTAATGATGCTATTTAAGTTTTTGAGATATACTTTACAATGCATTTCAACCTATGCACATGTTCCAAGAGCTGAATTTAAGATTTTGATTTTATTTATAAATTCAGTTCGCTACTTTTGTTATTTGAATCTTCTGTCCCCTTAATAGCATTTTGTCTGTTTGATTTATTAACTACTAAGACAGATGTGTTGAAATATCCAATGTCAATGGTAGATATTTAAATTTCTTACTATAGAACTAACAATTTTCGCTGTATATGGTTTGAAGCTACATTATGAAATATAGAGTTATTTTAACCTTCTGGTGAATTGAATCTATGCCACAACCCAATCTGATACTATCTTTTTCATAAATTTAGTCCACTTGTATTTATTATAATGACTGACATGTCCATTTGTCCTGCTTTTACTTTTCTTCCCTTTTTTTGATAAATTGATTGGTTTCCTTGATAGTGATTTGGAAACTATACACTATTTCTGGTTTTTTAGTGGTTACTGTTGAAATTTTAGCATACATACTTACTGTGAAAAGACCTAAATTAAATCACCATCTCTGTTTCTCTCTTAGACAATTCAAGAATCTCAGAAATTTCTAATGATAATAATCCTGCATCTAGGTTGTATGCTATTTTTGCCTAGTATTTTAGTTCTATTTTAAATTATTTTTAAATCCACACATTATATGTTGTTTTGTAGAGTCATTATTTGCTCAGATTTGCCAGTGTGTTTGCTTGCCAATTCTTCTTGCATTGAAGACCTATTTTCTGGTGTCAGTTTTCTTCTTCCTGCTAAACTTCCTTTAGAAGTTCCTTTGGTTAAATAAGGTCTATCGGTGGTAAACTCCGTTTTAGTTAATCTGAAAATTATTTTCTTTCATTTTCATTCCTGAAAGAAGTTTTGGAATATAGAACTCTAGGCTGAATTCTAATTCCCTTATCCCCTAATATCATCTGGCTTCTGTTAGTCCAGTTGTCATCTGTCTTTTTTTCTCTTGATGTTCCTAAGATCCCTGTCTTTGGCATTCTGATGCTTCTCTTCAAAGCAGCTAGGTGTGTCTGGGTTAGATAGACTGCCATATTCTAAACCTATGATTTCAGAATATGAGTAGAGATGGATAAGGTGTAGGAGAGAAGGTTGAATAAGGATCAAGCCCTGAAGAGAGTAGTTCATTTTCATATTAAATTATAGATATTAATTATCTTTTATGTGATTGACTTTTTCCACAAGACAAATGTAAGGTATTAATTTAGTATTCTAGTTGTTTGGTTCAGACTGAGATTTTAGGATGCACATAAGGACATATGGTGTTCAAAAACAGTGTGTGTATAGAGAAAAATGTTTGATATTTGTGCTAGTAAATTGGAGCATGGATGATACCTACTTGGGAAGATTTCTTCTATGAGATAGGCTATACTACCCTAAAGGTGGAGCTAAGAAGGCTGTTGAACATTGCAAGGAAGTCCCGATCAGGGGACTTGCTGCAGAAGATGTCATCTTCTCCCCCAGGTGGTGATTCTGTGCCCCTTCACTGGCATCCAGCAGACCTTCCCTTGCAGCAACTGGCTGGATGAGAAGAAGGCGGATGGACTGATCGAGAGGCAGCTCTATGAGATGGTGTCTCTCAGGAAGAAGAGATTGAAAAGTAGGTGGAGGGGCCTGGAGCCAACAAAGGCCAGGATGTCAAACCACTGGGTACTCCTGCTTCTCAATTTTCCTCTGGAAAGGAAAGGGTTCCCCAGGGAGCTCAGTTCTCCAAGGTACAGGCCACACAGAGTTATATTCATGGCACCGAGGCTGATACTCCAACAGCCCCAATACGCTGCTGTGATGGGCTAGTTGTTGAACTGAATGGTCGAACAGTGAGCTCTCTGAATGTACTGGCCACAGTCTGGGTGGAGTCTATTCTTTACCCTACTTAAAACTTACTAACTGACTCTCACCAGGAGACACAGACGTAAAGAGCAGACTTTTGGACTCAGTGGGGGAAGGCGAGGGTGGGATGATTTAAGAGAATAACATTGAAACATATTCATTACCATATGTGAAATAGATGACCAGTGCGTGTTCAATACACAAAGCAGGGAACCCAAAGCTGGTGTTCTGGAACAAGCTAGAGGGATAGGGTGGGGAGGGATACGCGAAGGGGGTTCAGGATGAGGGGGTACATGTATACCTATGGCTGATTCATGCTGATGTATGGCAAAACCCACCACAATATTGTAAAGTTTTAATCTTCCAATTAAAATAAAGTAATTAACTTTAAAGAAAGGAACATTAAGGCACACACTTTCAAATAGCAAGGAATCCTTCATTTCCCAAATTTGGTACTTGCTATTATATAATAGGAGAGTGAGACAAACTGCACACAACCTGCATTTCAGTCTTGATCACCTTTGATGTGCTCATTTTCCCCACTGGAAGCATGAAAATCTTTTCACTTTTTTGTTTATGATGCAACTGGACCTATCTCTGCAGAATTCCCATGGTCCCTGTGGGTCTGGACGACTGACTTGAAGAAAGCTGGTTCCAACTCTCCTATCTTCATCCAGATTTATGGGCAGAAGGGGCGGACAGATGAGATCCTTCTGAATCCCAACAACAAGTGGTTCAAACCCGGCATAATTGAGAAATTTAGGGTAGGAAGGAAGTGTGATGGGGTGGGATGGAGGAAGGGGTGTAAGATGCGTTTGTCATGGGATTCTGGTTTTCAAACCCAGGTTTGGATCAAGTTTGAAGACAAAAAGGTAAAATAGAGTCCCCAGACCCCTGCAGGAGTGCCACATTTAATCTACAGGCAATGCACTGGGGTGCAAAGATCTGGCCCTTTATCTGAATCAAACAGTTCCAAACCAAGCTCGGGAGAAGAAGCAAGTATGGAATGGCTTTGGACATCCAGGAGCCTGGTGACTTGGGGCATCATTGTAGAACAGAGACCCTGAGCACAGTTAGGGTCAAAGAGCCCAACCTGGACTGAATTAGAGTGAGCAGCCAATTTAAGGGAAAGTATACATTTTAGAACAGTTAAAAATAAGTTCAACTTTAAATTTTCGATATGTATACAAGTAGAGCAAGGCTTGTTTTGCCAACGGAAGTGCTGCTCTGACCTTTAGGTAAGAATAATTTTGTAATTTGCGGCTCTCTTTTCGGAGCACCCTGTTGGAGCTTCTATTATACCTTCAGTTCATTGCTCGTTATGTATTTGTCTTCTCAGTTAGACTTTGAGCCCCTGGGAGAGGGCATGACCACTGTATTGATCTTTTTGTCTGTTTCAGTGCCCAGCAGAGTCCTGGGGCTGTGGGCCTGTGTTAATTTGCAGGGCTGCCATATAGATTTTGTAACTGAAAGCTTATCATTTGGAAGATTTCCTTTAGTCAGGATCCTACTGTGGGTCAGTTATTTTTGTTCAGTTTCACCAGCCCTGGCTGAACCCTAGATCTGCAGCTGTCTCGCCCTCATGTGCCATTGGTTAAAGGAGCACAAGAAGATAGAGTATATGAGGGTGGTTTGAAGTAAACCCTACCTTGATGCTGAAAAAACAACTCAAAGCAGATGCCCTCCTGGCAGGGGCTCAGCTATGAGGATAAATTCATTTCACTTGATTCTGTCCATTCAAACCTTGATATTTCTCACCATAGATTGAGCTCCCAGACCTTGGCAGGTTTTATAAGATTCGGGCATGGCATGATAAAAGGAATCCTGGTTCTGGATGGCATTTAGAAAAGGTGAGATGACCATTTTGGGGTTGGAAGGTGATTGGGAGAGGAATCAACATGGTTTCTTTCTAATGACCTTGTCTTATTAGTTTGCCTTTATCTGTTGGGAGTATGGATGGGGAAGGGTTACAGTGAGACCTAAAATTGGACACATGACACATGGAATTCCTGATGAGGACAGGACTTCCAAAGTAGGCTAAAAAGATGCTTAGGTTTCAAGAGACTTGCCTTGTGTCCCAGTCACCTGGCTGCCAGGCAACTGTGGGTCTCCGGGGACCAGAGAGATAAATATTAATCTGGCACTCCATCTTCCACAAGAGTCCTCCCTGGGGGGATGGCCTTGTCCTCCTTGAGATGAACTAGCAGAACAGGAACCTCAAGGCATGGATGAATATCTCTAGTACACCCACTTGCTCACCCTAGGACTTCATTCCAGATGACCCTAATGAACACTCTGACTAAGGACAAGTATAACTTCAACTGCAATCGCTGGCTGGATGCCAATGAGGATGACAATGAGATCGTTAGGGAAATGACTGCTGAAGGCCCAACAGTACAGAGGATAATGGGCAGTAAGTACTGACGGGCTCTTTTCCTGGGGGAGGTAGTGGAATGGGGGTGTGTGTGCCAATAAGAGTCTGACTCATGAGTTGTAGTCTTGTCTGCTATTCATCACCAGGCTCCCTCTGAATGAGGAATGAGTTTATAAGATCCTATACTCAAGATAGGCTTGTAGGAACCATCTCCAAGACATGAAGCTAAAGCTCTATGAGGATGGGTATGGGTGAGAAGGGGGAGATTTCTGCGTCTTCAGGTTGGCTATAAGACGACGTGAAGAATCCACACTGAACAATATTTCTCCAGACACTCCCTGAAATTAAAGGAAGCATCCTCTTCAAATTATTTATGAGATGCTCTTCAAAAAAGGAAGGCTGGATCTGGGTTCTTACAGCCATACTTGGCTGCTCCCTTATGAATCCTCTATTTCTATTTGAGGCTAGTAGGAGAGAGCTGAGCTTTTAATCTGGAGTCATCCACAGTCAAAGAGGTAAGTGAGACCATTTTGCCTCTAGGTTGGACCACCAGAATGCTGGCAAATACATGGCATATGTCCTATCCTTTTCCCTTGGCAGACATTACTGAGCAATCACATCATTCTTTCCCATTGAGTCTGAAGTGAGCTTTATGGCCCTCAATATGGCACTGCAAGCAAATATTAGCAGTTGATCAGAATTAGCACTTAAGATAATTAAGTGCAAAATTAATTTGAAAAATTGTAGAAAGTTAAGACTATATAGAAAACAACATCACCCATCGTTCCTGAAGTCCTTCTAAGTATTTGGATAATGTCACTTCTCAGGCATTTGCACATCCAGTAGCAGCCCTCTGTCTCTCTCTATATATATGTAAAGAGGGATCACCCTGTTAGTTCAATTAGGCAATGCTTGCAATTAGTACTATTTTAGGATTCTTCTTCAATTTTAATTAAAATATATGACTATGGAATATTTGTGTTCAAAGGTCCTTAGAATAGGTTGATGCAGATAAGGAAAGTGAGGCAGTTCTTACCCTGATTATACAGTTAGAGGCAGAGTGGGAGCTAGAACAAGATCTCTTACCTTGTCAGTGACCATATTTGGCTTTTTCACAGCAGTATTTTCTTTGGCAGCAAGGCAGTCGTCTCCCTGAAAATATGATAAATAACATGATCCCTGCTCAGCCCCCAGTTAGGACTCTATATAAAATGTAGCCCAAGGCAGAAATATACCTACTGTTACCTGGCCTGCCCTCTTTATGTTCCAGAATTGAGCCTGTAGATATGAACAATTGAGGACAGGGTCTTGAGATCTGTTTTCTAAATCCTTCCAACCAGTCCTCATGAGATTAGCTCCTCACTCCCTATTTCTGAAGTTACCTGGTGCTGTTATTCCTGAGACTTTTTGCAAGGTTGCTTCATGAATTTCACAACTGACTGCTCTAATCAATTCTCTCCGTCTGTTAAGTCATGGGACCTCAAACTTCAGCATTATCACCTAGAGTGCTTCTTGAAACACAGATTGCTGTGCCCCACCCATGGATTTTCTATTTCAGTAGGTCTGGGGTGGGGAGCTCAGGAATTTGTTTATCCAACAAATTGCTAGGGGTCTTGGTGAGGACCCACTGTGCTAAGGCATCAGTCACTTTTCTAGCTGCACTCCAGCTTCTGAGATTTGGTTGCTGTTGCCTATATTCAACCCTCTCCTCGGGCTTTCTTGGTGACAATTTTGTGTTTGGTTAAATCTTTAAAATACCAGTGTGCTGTCATTCTAATGAGATTTTTTTTTTTTTTTTTCAGAAAGAAAGATGCCACTTTTACTTAAATGCCCAGGCTGTTCTTTTACCTCCATCTCTTCCTTACCTTGACTAAAGCATGACTCCCCTTCTCCCAAAGCCCAGTTTTCTGTCCTCACAGCTGTGGGGCTAGTGAGAGGGGGCGTTCTCCTGACTTTCTGCACTTCCAGCCTCAAAGCTCACATTGCTCATAGGGGGCCTCTGTCCCAGCTCATTTGCATTTTCTGTTGGCTCTGTTCACGTTCCTCTTTTGCATTGTGTCCCCTGGTCATTCTCCAGATTCCTCACTTCTACCACTGTTCTAGAATAGCAAATTAGTCTGCTTGAGCTGCTGTAACAAAATACCATAGACTGGGATTTTGAAACAATGAAAAATTATTTTCTCACAGTTCTGGAAGCTGAAGTTCAAGATCAAGATGTTGGCAGGTTGGCTTTCTCCTGAGACCTCTCTCCTTGCCTTGGAATTGACCATCTTCTCCCATGATCTCTTGTCTGTTTGTGCTCCTATCTGTGTCCTAGTCTCTTCTTAAAAGGACACACGTCATACTGGATGAAGGTCCACACATATGACCTCATTTTATCTCATTTACCTCTTTAAACGTCCAACATCCAAAAACAATCACATTCTGAGGTCCTGGGGGTTGTGACTTTGTCTTATTGATCCTGTTCATGAAGCGAATTGTCTCGATGTATCTCACCGTGCACACTGTTCGCTGAACCCAGGGTAGGCAAGGCTGGAGCTAAGAGACGGGAGAAGACTTGAGGAGCCGTAGGAACTGGAGACATGGCTATTCTCTCCTGGCTGGCATGGCAGCTGTAGCAAGATACAACATAACCCAATGTAACCGCACCCAACCCTTCAGGGCCTTTCCTGGTGAAGCTCATATAGGCCTACCGCACGAAGTAGCCTGTGACCAAGTTGAGTACCCCGTGACGCGCATGTGCAGTGCTGTAAATGGTCTCGGCTGTTACACCGCCGTGCAAAGTCATTGTTTACAGAACATGGGGCCAGAGGGCATGAGAGCCTGGAGGGGGAGGGGGAAAATGAGACAGCCTGACTGGCGCCATCTTGTTTATTTCCCCACAGACTTCAACATACCGATTTGAGGGGGACACAATTCAGCCTGCATCAGATAGTATCTCTCAAAGTGTGGTCAAGGGCCCATTTATATCAAAATTTCCCAGAGTGTTTGTTAAAACGAAGATTCCTGGGCCCAATCTCAGATAATACCGACTAGACTCTCTGAGGACTATGCCTGGTAATCTGTATTTTTATCAAGCACACCAAGTAATTTTTGCACATATCACAACTTGTTCCACTTCATCAATGTCCAAATGGAAAATCCATTCATCCACATGCCAGTCCTCGTCCACTTTGCTGCCCTTCACCTCCCTCCCACGCAACTAGCCACTCCTCAGTACCTCACTCGGGCTCATCCCACAAAGCTGCTCCTCTGAGCTCTGACTCAGTCTCCACCTCCAGCTCGGGCTCCTGAGCTCCTCAGCTGCTCATGGCCTTGATGATACACACACCACCCTTCAACTTGAACTCCACCCAGTTCCTTCTTCCCTACATTTCTCCTGCTCTGTCAAGGACTTGTGGGTGTGTGGAGGATGTGTTTTAGGGACAGGCCTTTAAGAAATTATCCAGTGGGGAGAAGAAGCGATCTTGAAATTGGGCAAGGACCAAGTCGACTACAGAGGAAAATATAAATTCAAGAAATACTTCGCAGGTGGAACCGGCAGGATCTGAATGAAGGCTGTGGACACAGTGGGGAGATGAGCTTCCTGCTGAGGAAGCTGGGAGTTGGAAGTAGGGATTTGAAACATTAGAAGAGATCATGGTAGGAGGGGTGGGGAGGAGGAGCGTTCTCATAGGTTACATACAAAAATGCACTTGTTTGTTTTTGCCTTCTGCGATACTATTACAAGGCAATAGCAATTTAAAAAATTCTCTAATGACTAGTATTGGATTGAAGTAAACTAAGTCGAGACCTGGCACGCTTCACTGGAGCGCTTGCACCTCTAGCAACATAATACAAGGAAGCTACAAGGGACTAAAAATAACTGCACAGATACAGCAGTTGGGGCAATTATGAACCATAGATACAAAAGGACCACAAACCAACTGCCATTTCTGAATAGCAGGGAGCAAAAGCAGAATACTGCACGTGACCCCTGCACACAGCACCACCAAGGGGGTGGGCAGGCCACCGAAGCCACTCCTCCAATCAGAGCCACCAATCTGCCACTACCCTCATCCCGCTTAAGGAACCAGCTTGCCCTCCTCAGAGAGCGAGCAAGGGCACTTGTAAAGCCTTGCCTGAATTTCTTTTCTGGCCTCTCACCAATTTCTATTGATTAAAGAGTCCCAGGACCTGGGTTCGTAACAGAAGAGCTGTTTGTTCTGGCTATAAAGGCATTTTAATGTCGTCTGGGGGTCCTGGGCAGTACTTTGGAGCCCACACCAACTTGAATTTCTTTCCCTCAATGGTTCTTTTCGGCCCACATAAATTTCTCTTGTTCTTGGAACATACCCATGTCCTCACTCACCTCTACAGGAACTCAGATCTCCTCTTCTGGTCTGGATGCTTCTTTGTAACAGTAAACAGAGGTGGTGGCAATGTCTCACTCCCCCAGTTGGTACCCTGATCTAGTGAATAGTATGCAGGGCTTCCTGGAAATCCCTTGGGGAGAGCCTCGGGCTCATGTAAGATGAGTAAATACCAATTTAAAAGCAATTATGTAGGTTTGAATCTGCGTGCTCCAAGTTTACTTAAAAAACAAGGGCCAGTCAAACAAGAAATTAACACCATGTCTGAGAGCCAGGATGCCACGGGGGGTGATCGCGCTGCTTAATGCAGACCAGGAAACACGGGACAAAACACTCACCAGCCCACAATTTATTTCCACCTTGCCTTTCCCCCAGGAGCTATGTGAGATAGTAAAACTGATGAGATTAGCATTCTCCAGTGCGTGCCCAGCAGAAGTGATTTTGTACTACTGATGAGTGGGCAAGAGACCACTGGACTCAAGTGCTGAAAATTGTAGCTTCTTGCTAATCAGGCTGAGCTGTAATTTTAAAATTAAAGTACAAGAGGCTCCAGTACTTACTGTCTGTTTGAAGTCTTTCACTGCTGATAACTCACAGTTAAAATCATCTTTAATTGCCCACAGGCTTCTCACCAGGAAGGAGCTTGAAACCTTAGTGGCAGGTGGGCTGGGAGGGCCCCCTCCCCTA